ATGAGGTAGGCATTCCCATACAAGAAATAATATAGTTTTTGTGTACTTGTTATGCTTATAGATTCACATTCATACGACACACTTTCACCCACATGACTGCACACTTTCAGGCAACTAATCAGGAGGAGCAGCGATAGATAAGGGACTTACGTAACTTGTTGTGTGTGTTTTGTTCGAGGTGTCCCTGGCGGGAGTGTTGTCCCTGGCGGGAGTATTGTCCCTGGCGGAGGCGCTGAAGGGAGAACACGGACCACGAGACCGTCGCCACCACCATAGTTATCACCGTCAGCACTCGAACCCTCCTGTTCATCCTTCCCGAAATACTAAAAACAAATAAACGTAGCGTCATGTTGTGTGATTGTTCAGCTCCCGACAACAAAACATTGGTTAAATGTCGACTAAAACCTCACACACAATAGAAATTGAAGAGACGACGACGTTTCGGTCCGTTCTGGCCCATTATCAAGTCGATTGGACCATTAGCATTATCACAATCGACTTGATAATGGGCCAGGATGGACCGAAACGTCGTTTTATGCAGGGCAGACGTAAGTCTATGTGTTTATGTATGTAGGTTAGATTAGCATTTTATAAGCACTACAATAGGGAGCAGGTCAGCCGAGAGGACAGCACGCGGGACTGTGATCCTGTGGTCCTGGGTTCGATCCCAGGCCTGGATCCCAGGTCCTAGGTTCGATCCCAGGCGCCGGCGAGAAACAATGGGCAGAGTTTCTTTCACCCTATGCCTCTGTTACCTAGCAGTAAATAGGTACCAGGGTGTTAGTCAACTGTCACGGGCTGCTTCCTGGGGGTGGAGGCCCGGTCCTCAACCGGGCCGCGGGGACACTAAAAAAAAGCCCCGAAATCATCTCAAGATAACCTCAAGATCTCCTTCCGTGGTTAATTGTTCAATAAATCAATGAACTGTATGTTCAACAGATCTCCAACCCTGTGTCCATGGAGGACAGAAGAAAATGTATATATGCTGGTTAGCATTGTAAATGTGTATGGCCACATCTGTGGTAGAAAAAAAAAATAATAAAAAAGTGTAGATGTGGCTACTGACCAAGTAGGGATCAGTAGCCACATATATACTACTTATATACCACACACACACACACCATATATATATATATATATATATATATATATATATATATATATATATATATATATATATATATATATATATTATATATATATATATATATATATATATATATATATACCAGCAGCCACATATATGCCAAAATAATAGTTTGGATGTCCAACTGGGTGAAGTTACCAATTCACCGCAGTTACCCTCGCGTTCACTAATGTATTATTTGCTGCAGTGATTGACACGCTCGTTACCAGTACGTCTTTTTTTTCTGAAGGGAAAAGAAAACCCGAAGTTGTGGAGCGATGAAGGTAGAGCACTCACTCTTCCCGTCCACTGTGCTCTGGCCACCGTAGACTATACCCCGCTCACTGTACTACCGTGTGATAAATTGGCTTTGTTCGTCGAGGTACTGTAAGAAAGGCATCTAAAAATAGACTGCTATGGATCTGGATCAGGAAATTTGAAAATTATTATAGCCGTCGGAGCAGATGACGTCGGAGCCAGCTTCAGGAAAAGGACCGCAATACATATATTCATATATATATATATATATATATATCTCATCGGTATGTAACAATGCGTATATAAATAGGTATCATCTTGTGTAAAGTTCTGTAGGACGCTCATAGAAGAAACTCGATTAGATGTTAATGTAACCTTTGTTTAGTACCAGTGAAAGACACCGAGATGGTATTTTTTCGAGTTTTCCGGGTCCACAGTATTGCAGGTACTCACCTAATTGTACTCACCTAATTGTGCTTACGGGGGTTGAACTTTGGCTCTTTGGTCCCGCC